TTCGAATTCTCATTGTTTTGTGTGGCGCATATATATTGGCGCTCTCTTTTACCAATATTTATTGTGTTCAAATAAAATAAAATAAATAATAATAAAATAATCAGAATCCTGAAGGTCATGTAGACTATTGGTTCGGAACCAGAGTTTTTCAACTTTCCCAAATGGACCATTCATAACCGTTAACTCGGTCACAGTGTCGGACATTTTTCCGTTTTCTTAGTTTCGAACACAACGCTACTGCCATGGAAAGGCAACGGGTATATACTTTAGGGAATCCTCAGCAGTGAAGTACGAGAGTTAGTCCATACCATTGTGATCACTTAGAGTTAAATGGGGAAATTGTAATTTTTAGAGTCAAGTGTGATTCGATTGTTAGTTAGTGGATGACAGTTGCACATTATCTCACAATCTGATTAAAATTGAGATACCATTTGATTCCGACTTGATGGTTTAGAGGAATTACGTTTGCGTTTGGATCCTAATGGTTCTGTATCTTATTCTATATAGAGTGTAGTGTGTGTACACATAAATTTGCCCTCTACTGGAGTACTCATTTTATTTTTTGAATCATTATTTCAGTAGTACCAAGTTTGTTGTTTCTTAGATATGTATCGAAAAGCTAAAAGGAAGCTTTTTAATTAACCAGCTAGTCAAAAGTCGTCAGTTTTCTCTATGATACTAGTGTATTAGGATTCGAATCTGTGATCCAATTGTAGAAATTAGAATACTTTCTCATGTTAAATACCACTGCCTAAATCGAATTAGTTGGGAGCACAGTCCGAATCTCTTGATGTGGTAGTTAAAATCTGAACATCTGATAATTAAGCTGGAATCGTTTTCATTGTAACATCATGGTCGAAGATTTTACAACTATTCTATTTTAACTGTAAAGCTCAAAGTGTATCTCAGTATTAATTAATAATCTCAAGTCAATCGATAGAATTCGACCAGAACTAAAGAACTTTACAGCCTGGTAGTTGGAAGTGGTCGACAAGAAATCTTATACCCTAGATCTTGTACTATTTGACATTCGTTAACATAGCTTGGCTGAAATGTTGAGCCAACTGATACTTTCTATAAGGTCCAAATCTTCTTCATTTAGCTTCACTATTTGAAACATTAACACTCAGCTATCCGACCAGTAATTGAATTCCGATAGGACCGATATACAGTCAAAATTATTTAATCACCGAGTAATAATTAACGATGATCAATTGGCTTTTGAGGATTGTTTCCCCAACTGATAGCAATAATAATATTATTATCTAAAGGTATTTTTAATGGGAAGAATACTATTGAGTTGTATTTTTAAATTCAGTTGATATGCTTTTACTGAATGATCATATGACATGGAACTGTCAAGAGTTCATCGTTGTTATTTTTTGATGTTGATTATTTACTGATGATGAGAATAATAAAAATAAAAGTCACTTAATATTTATCAGTATGGGGGTTGTGGAGATTGTTAAGTGTTTGGTTGAGATCATGAATTAATTGATGTTAGACCACCGTTGGAAACCTGGAAGCACTGGACGACCGTTTCGTCCTAGTATGAGACTCCTCAGCAGTGCGCATCCATGATCCCGCACCCGCGGGATTCGAACCCAGGACCTACGGGCTCCGCGCCTGAGCACTTAACCATTAGACCACTGAGCCGGCATCCAGTGGTGTTAGTGCTCAGGCGCGGAGCCCGTAGGTCCTGGGTTCGAATCCCGCGAGGTGAGGGATCGTGAATGCGCACTGCTGAGGAGTCCCATACTAGGACGAAACGGTCGTCCAGTGCTTCCAGGTTTCCAACGGTGGTCTAACATCAATTAATTCATGATCTCAACCAAACACTTAATATTTGTTTATAACTTTCATTAAAAAAGTAAGTAAACACATGGTGGAAAGCGAAACGAAGCGTATTTAACCGCTGCACTAGTCTCGGGTTCGATTTCCTCATGAGTTGTCGTGGATACGCGTTGTTGAGGAGTTCATTGCTGGGATAAAAAGGCCACCTTGTGCTTCCAGGTTTTCAATAGTGATCTAGCTAAGATTAGTTCGTGATATCAACTATGAAAATACTACACTATTGTTTGTTTATTGATGATTGTTCAGTTTCTTTGGTTGTGTGTTGTGTTTTTGTTGTGGACTGAAAGATTCAATTGTGAAGCTTTGATGGTCATCCTTTCACAGTGCTATCATCATTATCAATTCTCGCTTCACATAGATTAATGATTCTGTCGGCAAATGATTTTTCTTCCTGAAATGTTGTCAACTTCATTTATCGGTATATTATCGGTGAGTAGTTCACTATGCGGAGCTCTGACCACATAACTGGTGTGAGCTTTTCCATTGATTTTGATAAATAAACGTCTGTCTCATTGTACAGTTATTAACGAACTTATAAAAATTGTAAATTTTGCAAATGCCCTGGTACGACCGAGGGTGGGAACAGTTCACTCTTCCTCTCGGAATGCTCTCACATGGCCACGTGCATACAACCACTGTCAGGGAAGTTCTACTCACTGCCTTCTCACGGCACCGGTGTTGTTTACGAGATTGAAAGGACGAAAAGCGGATGTTCAGCGCTTTAATCGGGTTAGTGGGTACGGAGGATCCACCTAGGGGAGTTGAAAACCCTGATTCCAAACCAATGATGCACATGGGCTCCAGGATCCTGACGGAACTAATGGCGTATGAACCAATCGTTGGTGACTGGCTACCATGGAACTGTATCTCCTTACGTTGCTCAACTGCCTTGTGGACTAAACTTTTATGTCAAAGTCTCAGGGTGTGGCCCCTTAAGTAAACTACCTAGTTTGGTTTGGGAACCCAGGTATTATCATCGCCCACACAATAATCAAATGACTTGCGTGGCGCATATGCATCCGGTGGCCCTTGTACCAATATTCATGTGATCAAATAAATAAGTAATAATTATAATTAAAAATTTTACGTAGTTTTTGATTACATTGATCCTATTTAGTTAGTAATCCCGTACTGACCAGTCAAAATTTTATTGATAGAAAGTAATCTGTGTAATTTGATAATCAGTTTTGATTCATCTGCGTAATCCAACACTTTGTACATCTGCTTTTTATCTAACATGATGAAGTTTACCTAAGTGTTGTTTGTTTGTTTATTTATTTAGTAGTTCGTAATGATTCAAACTTGTAATTTTGCTAATTGAAAACCAAATGTTTAATCTGTTGATTAACGATAGTTTATTATGGAAGTCTGATGACCAACGTACTTTCCGATGTTGGTCGTCGATAAATTGAGATAATACTACAACACTTTAGTCAGTCGTTAGTCATAAATATCATAGAACCTGGGACATACTTTTGCACTGATGCATGTTGTCACATCACGTCAGCACAAGATTGAAATTATCAAGGTAAATAAATACCCGAGTGGTAGAAGTACTAACGTTAGTATAAGTATTAGTAAAGAAAATAATGGGTAAAGAAGATGATTCGAGAAGGAAAAGTGAGTTCTTGAGACAAAAAATTATAAAGTAATTTTATAATTGAAATTTCTAGGAGAATACAAAGAGTGGATACATCTACTTTCATTCCAATTGATTATGATACATGCACTGAACATCTCTATCCATTGGTAGTTTGCATTTATCAACATGGCTCAAACCAACAGTCAATAATTTCATGAACTAATGCCATGTTTTGGTTTGGCTACTCCTAGTTCTCTTCCAATCTACCCATACTCCGGTCAACGTTGGATGTTGAGATAACCAGGAGTTAGAAATACAACTATATGTCTCAACCACCCTAGCTGGTTTATTATTTTTACGTTGTATTTTATATCTAATCTCAGCATTGTTCACTGACCTCTGTTGCAAGATTGATTGATTCACTCTGACTGATCATTGTTCAGAAATATGCTATCGATAAAATTTAATCAACATTAAAGATTCGAACTACATGACACTGGTTATTGCTACTCAGTGAACAATTTAAGCTTAGTGATAAGTATGACCTTTAATAATCCCCCAAAATGACCTTTAGAGTGTAAAACCAATTTTTGGCCATTCAGAATTCAATTTAATATAAATGAATGGTTAGTTACACTACTTACTTACGCCTCCTACTCCTTGTGGGGGGAGCATAGGCCACCCATCAGCACTTTCCATCCAACCCTGTCCTGGGCAGTCCTTTCAGCTCTTTCCAGTTGTTATTCATCCTTTTCATATCTGCTTCAATTTCCCTACGTAATGTGTTCTTTGGTCTTCCTCTTTTCCATTTCCCTTCAGGATTCCAAGTTAGAGCTTGTCTCGTGATAAAGTTTGGTGATTTCCATAATGTATGTCCTATCCATCTCCATCATCTTTTCCTAATTTCCTCTTCAGCTGGAAGCTGGTTTGTTCTCTCCCACAGTAGGCTGTTGCTGATGGTATCCGGTCAATGAATGTTGAGTAACTATTTATAATTACCTGTACCTTCTTGATGATGGTTGTAGTAGTTCCCCAAGATTCAGCTCTGCCTGTAGCTCTTCTAGAGTTACTGCAGGTCCCCAGCCCGGGTAAAGGAGGAGGGTTGGGAATGAGGTTAGCGACCTCATTCCCTAGAAAACTGACTCGCTAGAAAAAAACGCTAACTAGATTAGTTACATAAAACTTTCGAAAAGTGTTTAAATTAAGATTAAGAGTTAAACTTAGAAATTATAGTTAAAATTTGAAGTAGGATTTTATGAGTTTAAAAAAATATTTTTCTTAGCTTATTCACTTAGCTACAAGCTATTTATCATTGTCTTCTTTATTTAAAAAAATTCCTCGTAAAACTCGAGTAACTCCTATATTAAATCAAATTATAAGTAGAGATGAATAGTGGCTAATAGTGGAATCCATAACATACATTTTGTCCCATCTGGGATTTGTCAGCTTCAACATAACCAATACAAAAAATGAATTAAAACAGATTAGTTTCATCAAGTAATGGATAGTTTTATCCTTCATCTTTCTATACACTTATTCTTTTCTTCATATATCTATCTTATAGGTTTCTTTTACCAGTTTGTCTAGTTATATGCAATGATATTATGGCATATGTATTTGGATTTTTCTATGGGAAAACACCACTTATTAAATTGTCACCGAAAAAAACATGGGAAGGTTTTATTGGCGGTGGTTTATCCACTATACTATTCAGTATATTACTATCTTATATTTTATTAAAATATGATTATTTCGTATGTCCAATTGAATGGGATGATACAAAAGGTTCTTTAACAATGAATTGTACTAGAAATCCTGTATTTATAGCACAGATCTATGATTTACCGAAGTATTTAGTAAGTTTCCTTTTTATATTAATCATCACTCATTTATGATGTTCCAATATTTTGTTAGCTATGAGGAATTTTATTCATCAGTTGTTAGTGAGGTGTACTATTTTCAAGTCGGCTATTTCTAATCTCCCTCCAACGTTACGGAAAAGACAGCATCGCCACAGATGCTAGTTGTATAGAGAAAAACATCTTACTACTTCCCCATCGGGTTATGAGCTTGTTATTTTTCGTCTTACTTTTAACAAACCTGGATGGTATGGTAAGACCTAATGAAATGAATGCTCCAGCCAGTATAGATTTTTGTAGACCGTTGTTGCATTCCAAAATAATCACATGATAGTGATGCTTGTGAAATATATATCTTACTTACATTGTATCTGCTCTGTTTACATATCCCTCTAATGACAACGGGATATAAAAAATTGAATACGAGTGTTTCGAAAGTTTATACTTCATAGAAAGAGATAAGAGATAAAGAAATAAAATATGTCAACTCGAATTCATTAAGCGTGATCCACTACTTATAGTTCGACAGAAAATAGAACTAAAGACATGTGATGAAGAAAGTATGTGATAAATGCGCATACACATGTGCTCTTATAAAAAACGGTTATAAGTGAATAATTGGCAAGGTCAAAATATATATAGATAATGTGTCAAAAAGAACAGGTTAATTGTTCTGTCCAAAAGCCAGAATGACCAATATCGGTATGACATAATACTAGACGCTACCAGCTCAACTCAGTTTTCGTGATATACAAATCCAACTATTGTGTCATGATTACGACTACTATCAAGTTTTATCTTTTTTTTCAAATTTTCTCACTAATGGTTAGTTTTGGAATGATGTGGTAACAAGAAATATTAACTACCAAATTTTAACCGTATCTATTTTAGTCAAACACATGGTTCCGATGATATTCAATAATAATGGTTACACTAAGTTGTGTTGTTTGAAGTTGGAAGTGTCGATCTCTCGGGGGTTTCGATTCAATATAAGTCGTAGTAGTGTGGTGTGTGCTACTGATGTCGATATAAGTAGTATGTATCACCAATCGAAATTGAAATGCCTGACGGCAGAAGATTAAGAAGATCTAAGAGAAGAGAACGAGAACAGATAATGATTGCTGTGGAAACGAAAGAACAATGAAGTCTGAGACGATTGATTAACATTTTGCAAATGAAGTTTTTACTGTATGGTTCTCAGATTTTACTAAGTTGTTCTGTAATTTTGTATTCAAATATATTTGATTGTCCCATCTGTGTTCTCGTTCACTACAATAGCAGTCGTCTATTAGTTACTGGCTTCCCGGGAAACTTGAACATTTTGGATTGAACTCCATGTGACCAACTGTGAATACATCACACTTTTGAAATGTCTCAGATATATGAAGGCATAACATTTGCTCTATTTGTATACAAATTGAAATGATTTCTTGTTGATATATTTATTTTTTTTTAATATTTCATTCGGATGGTTTTTAGTACTGTGTTTTTTCTGATTTTCTTTTCCTCCCGCCTGCATATATATCTATATCTGTATATGTATAGTTCTTTCTTCCAATACGTCAAATCACTTGGTATCCATTCTTACAGCATTGTTTAATTATCAGTATATATACATCAGTTGTTGGACCATTTGGTGGATTCTTCGCTAGCGGTTTTAAGAGAGCATTTAAAATTAAAGATTTTGGTGATTTTTTCCCTGGACACGGTGGTGTAGTTGATCGTTTTGATTGTCAATTAATAATTGGAACATTTGTATTATTTTATTATAATTCATTTGTTCGGTAAGTTGTTCAATGTTTCTGTGCATCTGTGTGCGTATGTACACACACTCTTCTTGTCTCTATGGTTTATATTCAAATGATAGGACAACATTTTCTTCACTAATCATTATCATCATCATCATATTTGTGTGTGCTGACTGGGATACTACAAAAATACTCAGGACAAACTAGGTGGTTTGTTTTAGGATCTAATCCACGAAGTAACAGAATAATGTCAATGAAATTTAGTTGCATGTTAGCCAGCAACTAAAATAGGTTTGTAGATCATTTGTTTCTTAACAATCCTTGATCCCACTATTACACTATTTAGTTTGAATTCAGAATTTTATAACTACTCTGGATAGCGTTTACTTCGTATCCACTACAAAAGAGCATTTTGAGTAGAAAAGTGGATATTTTCCACAATCGGTCACACAAGATTACTTATGGGGCAAGTATCTGATTACTTTTTGTAGGTATATTGTCCAGTAATAACGTCGAGATTGCATAATTCATCTAATAGTTAGGAATTGTCAACTGGATTCCCACTTTTGATGTTTTAATTGGAACTAGAGTTTAAAACAGATCATTATAAATAAACACCAATACTTTTCTAAAATAAATGTAATCCACTTGTAGCCATATATCATACAGAGTACATCCATTCAAGGGAACTCTTATTGGAGACTAATTAAAATACAATATTAGAAATTATAAACCGACAACGGCGTGGCTATAATTTATGAACGAACCAATCAGATATAAGATGACGAGTCTTGGATTTTGGCGCGAAATTTATCCATACATTTGGCAAAATATGATTTTGACATTATAACCGATGTTAGTTCATGATGAGAACCCTAAATCTAATTTCTAACCCTAATCATCAACTGTAAATCATACCTCCAATTCCTCACACTGGTTTATAACCCTCATTTAGTCCTAGTTATGAGGTGAACACTCTCAAGGTCACTTGCTTTAATGTCACTGAAATATTGTCCATAAATTATTGTCTCACCCCGACAACAACGAAAAAAAAACTTTTTTTAACCGTTGTATGTTATTTTTTGAATTTTTAACACGAAAAATATCATATTTTTATTATTTTTAATTAATGTACTTTTATACATGGCGATTGTAATTTATATGAACACATGTATATGTATGTAGTTGGGTACCATATATTGAATTGGTTTCTATATGACCTGATAATTCATTTAAATAATTGAAATTAATCTGTTATAATGTTGTTGTACAGTATAGTTTCTCAGAATTCGGTAATGATTTAATATGTAATCAGTATATAAGTGGATTCAACTGACTAATTAAAGGGAAAGATTCAAAGTGAGGAAGAAAATTTTTTAACTAAGTGATTCAGGATATATATGTTTTCGTTCATAGATAAGTGATTTTTTTACTAGTTAGAGACAGTTCAGTATTTTAATTGACTTTTATCTGACTCCATTTAGATGGGACGACGTAGGGCTCATCAGTTTAGTGGCCTTTTATTTGACTCCAATTGGATCGTACGAATGATTACTATCGAAATATACACCATTAACCCTCGTATATTATTATCGACTTAACTTGCGTTAGTGAATAATGGCTCATATGCTTTCTCCTATTCGTTTCGTTTTGCTTTCTCTTCTTCGCATTCTCCGTTTTGTTTTTGTGATCGACTGTTCAGACCAACGATTGTGTGAAATATACATATTCGAAATTCACTCTCGTATTTAACTTATTTAATTCCGTTATTCACTGACGCGAGTTAAGTTGATGATAATATACGAGGGTTGATGGTATGTATATTTCGATATTAATCATTTGTACGTTCCAATTGGAATCAGATAAAGGGTCATGCTAAAGTAATTATCTGTAATTTTGCAGGAACTAGTGGGTCCTTAGAAAATTTAAATAAGTTATACAAATTGAACATTTGATTGGTTGGAAAAACAGAAGCACTGTTAGGAATTGAAATGAATGTATACTAACTAGATGGTGAAATACTCGAAATATATAAGAACTTGTTGTGACTTGTGGACTGCAGATTCGAGCGCAGCGAATTGCCGATCGGACCAAATACTCATAAACACATAAGAACGGCCTAGAGTTCTGATTGGTCCCGCTTGCCTGTCTAGCCCAGCCAGTTCAGTTCAGAACTCAAGTCTCAGCCTCTGAGATATGAGTCGTTATATTTCAAACATACTCTGTTTATATACCAATCAACCCGACCACAACGTACCAATAAAATAGAAAATAACATTTGTACAATAATTAGCAAGATGTGGTTGTGAATGAGGGAGGTAGCGATTAACGGACAGGGAATAATTCATGAATGGTAAATCGTATAATAATAGTTCATAGGTCAAAATAAACCTCATAATAAGAGGAGCATGAATATGAACAGTTTAGTTACATAACAATTATACGATAAAAATATACTCATAATATTGGTCCATAAATGGATCCCAAAAATTACCATTCATTATTCTTATCGGGATACAACAGAACTATTCTGTCAACTTTATTCAAATGCTCCACATAGAAAAGTGAAGTATATATAATGATTAGGGAACCACGAAAATGCGTATATAGACCACTGATTTCACTTGTAACTTTCATTCAGTTTATGATAATCCATTCAATATGTGTGTGGAACAGTGACTTACTCGTTAAGGCATTCATTTTTCATCTAATAGTTCGTAGGTTCATACTTAGCTTCATTCAATTTAGTGTGTTCATAATATCGCTGGCGTGGTTAATCTCAAATTGATCAATAAATTAAATAGTCTGTAGGTAACCAACTATTAGAAATCATACCGAAACTTAATGGGTCAGACAATCGTTGCTTGTTTACTTGATCATCACGAATCTACATAATTTCATTATTCACTAAAAATGCGATCGATCATGGGACATACATTAGATCAATCAAAATGCAGTGAAATTATGAAGTGACCAGGGAATGACTTTCATTTCAGAAGACTGAGACATATACCATTAGTGGCTTAACTTTGAGATAATAGAGAATATTTGTAGCCGAGGATGGGGACATTGAAGATGTTATGTGTTTTCTGAGCTAGATAGATTGTTTAGTTGTAAAGCTTTCATTGTCCTTTAGGGCAACATCATCATAAAGAAAGAGAATGAATGATTCACAACTAAAGTCGTCCATCCTAGAAAACACTATCTCGTATATATATAACATATGTAATGGGATTCAGATTTATTCTGCATAAATTATTAACCTTAATCCTCTTCGTTTTTCTTATCGTTCACGGTTTTTCTTTTTTTTTGTCTCAGAACTTATAGTCCTGTTTCTCTATTACCAAAAATCTACATTTTGCCACCAAATGCACAAATTCTATTTTATCGTCTACTTACGGATGGTCTTTATAAACGTGGTCTACTTCCTAATCAATTAGTAGATGCAGTAAATGAATATTTACCATCTACATCAGGATCAAGTTCAACAACAATACGACCAACTAGTTCATCGTCGTCATCGTTGAATAATGTTGAAGTGTAGAAAGTATTTGAAAAAAAAGATCAACCAATGAGAATATAAGCCAACAAGTGATAGTGTTACAAACACACACACACACACACACACTAGAGCTACAGACATTCATGTGCGTTTAACTTATTTTTCATACAGAAAGATGAAATATAAAATTACTTCGATAAAAATACTTCTACTAGTGGGCTTGGCGATTGTTCAAGTTTGAATTTTACAATGAGATTGCGATTAAAAATGTGTTGTTGTTCTCCTCCCCCCCTCCCTCTCACTTATCATTATTATTCTTATTCCCATTACTTATTTGCTAACATGCTTTTATTTTATACTTGCCCCTCGCATAGACAAGTGTATTGTAGATCATTAACATAATGAGATATGCACTCACATATATACATATATATATAAACCGCATACAGACACACACACACACAGTCACGCATTATGGGGTGTAAGACTAACGTTAATAACTAGTCCACTTTACATTGAAATTTGTTTTCAACTTTTAAATTAATTAGTAAATATTTGTTGTACTACTTACTAATTTGTACTACTTATATATAAGTAGTATGTGTTGCTAGCTGAATTGAACTGAAAGAAATCATTAAATACAAGCAGAAATTTAAAATGTGAATCATGAAAGTGTCAATACAATTGTGTTTTAACAGAATATGTAGAATTTGTTTCTTGTTTATTTTTATTGTAGAAAATAAAAATAAGATACTGATTTACTACTCTATTCAATCCAGTCAATGTAGTACTGTTTTAATTGATCATCATCATCATCATCATCATTTATTTTGTATTGTTCACTTATGTGGTGCATTTCCCTCTCTCTCTCTCTCTACGTGTAACCGGCTTGTATCTGTTTACATAACCTCATCATCATTATTATTGTCATTGTCAGTGTTATTATCTGTTTTACACCCGTATATACTGCTTACTATACACTCATTAACATAAATTTTCTTATCAATAAGAGAGTAAAAGTATCAAACATTAATAGGGGTGGGGAGACTGTTGCTATTTCTATTTAATTAGAGTTATGAATAATACTGTTATGTCATTCAATGATATATTCATTCTGTGATTTCTTCATTTAATATCTATGTGATACATATTGATGAAGTGTATCAATTTGACAGTGTGCATATATATATATATATATATATATATATATATATATATATATATATGTGGATATACATTCATATTTTCATAGATGCTTACAAAAGTATTGTGTTTTCTTTTTCTTTTAATTTTTACATCGTATCCTGTGTCACTTTGATACAGATGCATTTAATAAAAGTAATGATCTTTACACATATATACACTTCCACTTAATCAGTAGTGACACTTTGTTGTCTATATATAGTTTAATGATGGATTATGTTAATTCAATTGTTGATAGTCTTATTATGTTTCCTGATTGGAAAGGCTGTATGGTCATTTTTGTTTCGTCCATCAAATCATTCCATCTAGGTTAATGTGAAAGTGATATGATTGGGCTAAAATTGTTGTTCCTTGAGTATTATGGTCATTTGCTCTGTTTTCTCTTTAAATGATTTAAAAAGAATTCATGATCCATGATATGAGTAACCAAGACGTGATAACAAATGTTTCCATACATCTAATAGTATTGGAGGTTATCTAGTTCATAACTAACTAATAAATTGTGGGTTACTTCCTATGCTCAAAGTTCAAATAAGATTTATTGTGCTTATCTCAATTTATATACAAATCAGTAGTCGTTAGATATTTCAATCAAATTCAGTTTAGGACGGCGTATATGTGAATGTAGTCTGATTTAGTAATTTCATTCAGTAATGAATATTTTGTCGCCTTATGGATAAATGTAAATAGTTTACGAGGGAATTGAAGGTACTTTTGAATTGACAGCACACATTTTGATCTAGAAATTCATTTCTGATTGCATGATATTTCTCACAGTATTTGTTGTTATATTTTTTTGTTAACTGAGATATTACTTAAATGCTCAAATCGGAATCGGTGATCTTAAGGAATCGATTCCTGAGCCATTGGTCTAAGAGACTAACCCACATGGAAGTGGTGTGATGCGAGACGACACAATCCTATAGCTAGCAGTTTCTTTTTCCCAGGATCTTTCAGCTTAATTATACCACTGATTTGATATTAGGATTTTTCAACTCTTCTAGTTTAACTATTTGTATTGAAGAATTCGATTCCAGATCCGGAATCCCACTGTTGTTTTCTCATATCATAGGGTTTGTTCAAAACAAGGCTTCGTAGCTGTCAATTTGTCACAACTTTCTAACTAGGATTCTAGAGATCATTCAACTCAATGGTTCTCAAGATTTTAACAGACGTCGCTCAAAATAAAAATTACTGATAATTTTGTTGTAGTTTTCGTGTACATTCTTGAATAGAAAAAAGAAGGAATTTCATTAATTGGAAAAATCATTTTTTGTTGGTTGTGGGGAAAAATCTTAAGCCAAAGCGAACTTTCAATACAGTCCTATTTCAAGTTACTTTTTATATTTTTAGTGTGTAATTATTAAATACTTAAACTGTTATATTGTTGTGTTGCCCTACTTGCAGGCCTTCGCTTGATGCATGGACTAATGTTATGTATTTTACTTCGCCTATGTTATTGTCAATTTATTAAGGACCTATCATTCAGTTCTCTTCCACTTATGGAGCAGTTATGGCCATATTGTAGTTTCTTAATTCTGTTGATGTGCATTCAGGATTTTGTTCCATATATATTACTGTATTAGTGATTCATGAGGTCCAACTGTGTAATGAGCTATCTGCTTGCTAAATTTTGGTCGGTTCTACCTGTCGAGTGAGTGAGCGTGGAAAACTGCATTTTGAACCAATGGTCATCTAGTTTTGCTATAGGCTGTCATTTCACATTTATCTTGTCATTGGTGCTAAATGAACAGTCTAGGCAAGCAGTCGACACTAGGACTAGATCAATATAATTGATCTCCTGTCTTACGGTTCAATTCCATGGGTCTCAAATAAACTTAACAAGAGAATCTGTTTATTCTCACCGACACTAACTTTAAATGGATTGTATCGTTACTTATGAATTGTACAACCCTTCTATTTCTCTATATTACTTGTCATTTTTATTTGTAAAACATTTAATTTTAGGTGGTAGCTAGAAGTAATCGATAGCACAATGTGGATCTGGGTTTTGTGCTAGTTGACATATGTCAGCAGAATTTACCCTGATATCCATGGGCCCGATGTACCCCGGTGGATTCGATCTCGTGTCATCCAGCTTCTTATTCAGACACGTCACTGAGCTATTTGTGTAGCAACTAGTTTCTTGTAGGATTTAGATGTATTTACGATTGGACCCCTGTGATACGGCGTCGAATTCACCAAGAGGTATCAATTCTCTCAAGATTAATGAAACGTCTGGATGACGAGTGCCAAAAAGCGCGAAATCTTTTTCTAAGGTATCCTAGCAACTACTTCCGAATGCCACTTTACATCCTAACATAGTGCACGCGATGTTGAGTCAGTTAGAGTAGTGGCCGCATTGCTACCTGATCCATAGGACTTTATCAACACTAAAAAGGACTTGACGTACATGACATCGGTCGCTACTCAATGACGGATCAACTGTATAAACATCGTTTAACTACCTGTTGTATCAGGATTTATATGTTATGAGTAAATAAATATTACAATGGTTGAAATCATGAGTCAATTGAAGCTAGACAACCATGGAAAACCCGGAAGCACCGGACGGCCGTTTCGTCTTATTATGGGACTTCTCATCAGTGTGCCCCCACGATCCCGCCCCCTCGAGATCCGAACCCAGAACCCATCAGTCTCGCGCTTAACCATTAGACCACTGAGCCGGCCGGCAGCCAACGCTGTTAATATCTAATTTCAACCAATCCACGAAACTGAGCGACATATCCAGTGCTTCCAGGTTTTCCATGGTGGTCTAGCTTCAATTGACTCATGATTTCAACTATTGAAATTACTAAAATCTCCACAAAACCCCGTCTGAAAATAAACATTAACCGGAGAAACCTCTTTTTGTAAATTGATTATCTGTTAAAAATAATAAAACATCACATTTATGGTACAAATCAAAATCTCCAGAAATACAATACCACTTTAGCAACAGTGAGAAAAAAAAGATAAGTTGAACAATATACAGACATCTTGAGTTATTCAATAAGCTATTGAAAGTAACCAAAGATAATTTCTCAAGTGATATACTCATTTTCCAGGCCAGTCACTTCATTATTATCTGCGTTAGTTTGTTAAGGTCACAATATACATACATTGCTTAATGTTTGACTCAATCAGCTATTCAAATGTGAAAAAAGAAATTAAGAATGGTTCTTAAGAAGCTTTATGCCCAAAATTGAATGATCATGTATACAAATTATGCGTAAAGATTCACACGATACATAATTGGTCCAGATGAAAGCACATAGACTGACAGGTCCTGGGTTCGAATCTCGTGAGGCGGGATCGTGGGCGCGCACTGCTTAGGAGTCCCGCATAGGACGAACCTGAGCGACATGTCCAGTACTTCCAGGTTTTCCATGATGGTCCAGCTTCAATTGACTCATGGTGTCAACTATTGGGATTACTATAATATCCACAAAACCCCTTCTGACATAGAGATTGGCCATGATTGGATGAACAAATTACCAACAATATACCAGTCACGTCTGGATTTTATCGAGCACATGTCTAGTAATTTGGTAAACAAATTGATAACTTCAATAGTTGAAATCATGGGTCAATTGAAGCCAGACCACCATGATCTCAACTATTGAAATTACTATAATATTCACAAAGAACTTCTGATATTAAATTTATAACTGTTAAAATAAAAATAAAACGACAAATATGCAGTGATATAAAGTGTGAATGAGGGATGGCTCATCACCTAAGCACTCGACTGATTTGCAATCAAAAGCAACATCACTAAGCAGGAAACTAGGTTATTCTATGCAGTAAAATAATGGAATCATCTCTAAAATATTAACGCAAAAATGATATAGTAGAGTATCATTGATGATTAGATATAATCCAGTTGATAGGCCAATCAATCTTCAAACAGTTATCTCAATAATACTTGTAACGCCTTGGAGTTCGTGTCATTGGAATCTCATTCAATCAAGTATTTATCCCATAATAGACAGTATAAAGGATATAGCTGATTTTCCAGTTAAAATCATCGGGACTATCTAGTGTATTATTAAATTTATCAATGGAATTATTAAATCTAAATACTATCCTATCGGTGAATAGTATCAACAGTTTTGGTTTAAATCGAACCGAAGAATTGACAATACTTGATTACCCATTTGTGATCAAATCTCTTCTTCACTTGATGACCGTTATTTGACATCATAAACATGGATATCCAGATTTCACCAACTAATATCAAAGTTCAGACATGGAAAACAGATAACAGTCACTGAAACTAACACAGTATCAAACTCAGAAAACTTCCCATGTATTCTGATTGGTTAATAACAAAATCTTACGATGTCATTTTTATAGTTGGCTATGATCGTAGTATAGTATAATTTTATAGGATCTAACATGTAGTATTCATGAAAATCGCATGTGTATCAAGTTAAATTTGCTGAACGAAAGTATCAATTCTTGATAATAATAATAATAGTGTGATATAACTTCAAAACATTTTAGAATAATAGACGCCACATCATTTACCATAGAAAATACATTCAACAGGTTCAATCTCAAAACTGTTCATAGTTTGCTTTATTGAATGTATCTGAAGCGATAATGTTTAGAATTAGACGAATATGTTTTAATTTGCTGTATTTTTATGAACATTTTACATAAATACTTCTTTGGTGGTTTTCTTTTTTGCCAAACAATAAATAGTATTTACAAATGCCGAAATCAAATTAAACGATTGTTATGTATCGTCTGGTACGGCCAAGAGTGGGAAGAGTCAGCTCTCCCTCTTGAAATGCTCTCATATGGCCACGTGCATACAACCACTGTCAGGGAAGTTCTACTCACTGACTTCTCGCGGCACCGGTGTTGTTTATGAAACTGAGGGGACGAAAAGCGAATGTCCCACACTTTAACTGGGTTGATAAACACGGAGAGTCCACCTAAGGGAATTGGAAATCCCTGATTCCAAACCATTGGTGCACATGAACTCCAGAATCCTGAGGTAACAAATGGTGTATGAATCAATTATTGGTGACCGGCTACCATGGGACTGCATCTCCTTACGTCACTCCACTGCCTTATGGATCAGACCTTTAGGTCAAAGGCTCGGGGTGTGGCCTCCTAAGAAAACCATCTGCTTCGGTTTGGGTACCCGGGTAGTATCACAGCCCTCACACAATTCGAATGATTTGTGTGGCGCATATGTATCTGGTGCCTTCTTGTACCAATCTTTATGTGTCTAAATAAATAAATATTGTCTAGTACTGAATGATTGTACTACTCATCCTGACCATTTTAATGAATATCAGAATATGAAAGTGTATTGCCTTTTTGCTGTAGTGTGAAAACAACTCGTTTTACTTTTAAAGTAAATCAGTTTTATGTTTGGATTCTTTGATTAGAGATTGATTGGGCATGGTATTGAATGAGATTGAACTCGGAGGATAGAATTAGTTGATTCGATGTCACATGTTAGACATATTTATTTCGATGTAAACACTTTTATTTTTTTCCGAGGAACTAAGAAGAGAGATTCGGTATGATAAAGGTCAACTGTATATCTATACTATCTAGCCCATTTAAAATGCTACCAATACAACCACTAAACGGAACTGATATTTGTTTGAAACTCAATAAAATAGCATCTCGGGAAGTTGATTGATAATAATCTGAAGCTGTATGTCATATCATACTTCACAAATCGTGTCACATTTTGTCAGATTATTAACAGTACCAATTGAGGTAGAATAAGAGTTTTGTTGTCGTGGATTGTTTTTTATTTTTGTAAGATAGTAGAGATTTATCGCACTAAAGAAGGCTTATGAACTAGCTTATTCAACTCCTTAATTTAGTCTTCATTATTCATTAATACTGTAGTGTGCACATCTTTCATGAGAAATTATTTCTTTTCTAATACTAAGCTTCTTTACAGTTCTATGTTCTTTTGTGATTAGCTGAATGAAGTCTTTTTTCCATAACGTCACATGTACCATTGTGTAAATTAATTTTTGTGTAGTTTGCTCATTGAGTCGCAACGCCCAAAGCTTCGAAAATATTAAAGAGCAAATATTTATGACTACGATGAATAGACGTAAAAAACTAAGTAAATTAATACATGATACATGACTGTGCTTATATGCCATTTCAGGGTCGAACAGTAGTTGAGAGATGCTTAATAAAGCATACTATCGGATAAAGCTAATTACGGCGTTTATTCATTTCAGTCTTCTTAATCTCATAGCAAGTAAGAATAACGTACAGTAAACATGTGTATCTGTATATGAACCAGGCGATTGTGAAATATAGAACGAAGTTTGCATTTTTCACAGTATTCTTTTTTATAACTGGTAACTATAAATCAATTAAGAACTGATTACAGATTACCAAATTGTAGTTGTAACTGGGTATTTTGTTGGGGTGTTTTTTGTGGAAAAACTTTAGGACATTTTTTTCACATTAAGTTATTCCAACTGATTAGCTTTCAATCGATTATATCTTCTCCATTCCATTTGCCATTGTCGAAGTTCACAAACTTCTGGGATTTTTCTTACCTATAAGTACAAGAATGAAGTATTTATTCATAAAATGAAATGTGGTTAGAAATAGAACTTTTTTTTCGTATAAACTCACTTAGATGATTTTAAAAATAATTCAAATCATTGAGTAGTTCAATCAGTTCGTTATAAGCAATATACAACCTGATACATGTATGCATCGAATCAAGTTACCATGTCTTATCAGTACAGTAATTTTATTTTAACACATAGATATTGGTACAAGGAGGCACCAGATACATATGCGCCACACAAATCATTCGATTTGTATAAGGGCTGTGATACTGCCCGGGTGCCCAAACCGAAGCAGGTGGTTTTCTTAGGGAGCCACACCCCGAGCCTTCGACCTGAAGGTCTGATCCACAAGGCAGTGGAGCATCGTGAGGAGATGCAGTCCCATGGAAGCCGGTGACCAACGATTGGTTCATACGCCATTTGTTCCCGCAGGATTCTGGAGCCCATGTGCACCATTGGTTTGGAATCCGGTTAAAGCACCGGACATTCGCTTTTCGTCCTCTCATTTTCGTAAACAACACCGCCGCCACGAGAAGGCAGTGAGTAGGACTTCCCTGGCAGAGGCTATATACGTGTGGCCAAGTGAGAGCATTTCGAGAGGGAGAGCGGACTATCCCCACTGTCGGCCGTACCAGGGCATTTGGGGGCTAAGGTGAAGATATCAATAGAAATACTACAGTAATCAGTAATGACAGTATAAACTGTAATGGAAAAAATTTGGCATAAACTTTATGATTTGAGAAGTAAGAATAATTTCATGGTAGAAAATTTTCGATAATTTTAGGACTCATGACTTAAGAGAAGACGAACATCCAATACATTTGAGTCACTATGAGGAATGTCACTCAACATCTTCTTAGAATCCCTCTGATTTACTCAAACACAAGCTTATATTGCAAGTCAATGTATGTGGTGATTGTATATACTCAATAAATGTCCCAGAAACTTGAGTCAACAATGATTCATAGTTATATCAACTATCTTGCCACCTTTACGTAGCACGCTTTGTCTAACCTCAGCACATATAGTAAAATATGTAGTCTGAAAATCATAGGTTTTTACATTTACTCGTCATGTACAAATGGTTCCGAGTTAGTTATATTGTAGTGAACGAGAACACAAGTGGGGTCAATCAAATATATTTGAACACAAAATTATCAAACAACTTAGTGAAATCTGAGAATCATACGGCAAATACTTCATTTGCAAACTGTCGATCAATCATCTCAGATTGTGTATTCATATGAGATATTTCAAACTAGAAGAAACTACTTCAAATATACATTAGTACTCTATGAATTCTACAGTTCTTCTTCAATTGTTACCAATTCGTATTAACTGCTATCTATGTGCCAAATAATTATTAGCAATCCTATTAATTACTTAATCTTTAGTTCTCGTTGACCATCAATATTAACGATTATTTGTACTAATAACTGTGCTTCTCCAATCAGAATAGTGTTTATAAAAAGCAAGTGGACATATAGGATTTCTCATTTGAAATCAGTTAAGAAATTCTATAAGACGAAGAGATAAACCTTAAAGTGGTAGTATAACGGAACAACTATACTGAATAACATTTTGTTTAAGTCAAACATTGATTTAATGGTTGGATTAGTTCACCAATAAGTCACATATGTTTAAACCCCAGTCTAACTACATCGTTTTAAGCAGACAGTTAGTATCTCTGGCCGCCATACAAACTATAATTAAATATAACTCATTTACTAAGTCTACATTTATGTTTTCAGAGTTCAGCCACACTTTTTCAAACCAACATAAGTGGAGCGAGATTCAAATGTCACTTATTATTAATCAAATATACACCTATAAACCGGTCACTAAAAAAATCGATTTGGTGAGACTATAATTAATGGACGAATCAATAAGATTTAGGGTAATAGGTATTGAACTTTGGCGTAGAATTCATTCATCCATTTGGTTATATAGCATTTTGATATTTTAACTGATATCAGTTCGTGATAAAAACCTTAAATTTAATTCTTAACTCTAACCATCAACTATAAACCATAATTCTAATTCCTCACAATGGTTTATAATCCTCATTTAACCCTAGAGAGCAGATAAACATCCTCAAGGTTACTATAGCGTAGCTCAAAACTCGTCCATAAATTATAATCTTACCATTGATTTAAGGTAAAAAAAAACTTTCTTTGATGGAGATTTGTTCTCTGAGCTGGGTGGTTTGGTCATGAAGCTTTCATCGTTCTTTTGAACAACATCTTCAGCACAAAATTCAGGTGCTGATGGTGTCATTCAAATGAACAATGAAAGCTCCCCTACCAAACCATCCAGCTCAGAATACAATATTTCATCAAAATCATCCATCTGAGCTACAAATCTTCTCCACCATCTCAAAAACTTTTTTAAAAATGTCATTATCAAGTATCTATGACAAAAGAATTAATATTTTAATTCATTCACTAGAATGGTTACTATTCACATTGATGACACGTGACGATGATAGAAGTTTAAACCAATGACTGAACACTTCCATCTCAAGGTCATAAAATATAAATTCAGGCGAGATTATAATTTACGGATAAGCCAATCAGATTTAAGATAACAAATGTTGGATTTTGGCGCGTGATTCATTCATCCATTTGTCTAAATATCACTTTAGCATTATAGTTGATGTCAGTTCTTGATGAAAACATTGAATCTCATTTCTAACCTTAACGTTCAACTGTAAATCCTAATCTTAATTCTTCACACTAATATATAACTCTCATCTAACCATAGTCGGTAGGTGGACATTTCAAAGTTATTTTAGTATTACTAAAAGGTCGTGCATAAATTATGATCTCACCAAAATTTATATGACCATTTTGCAATGAAGGTCAAACTGTTAAATTCAAATTTTGTTTATGTTAGAATAAATAAATAATGTATGAGAAATCAACAGATAGTAAGTCAGTCAGTCAGCTACAACCTAGGACCAGGCACATATATGCATCGATCCAAGTTACCATACCTCATTAACACAACAAGATGAACATCAAATTCATAGAGGTAGTCACTTCAATATATAATACAGGAAGAACGAAAGGTATCAAGTAATTTTAATCCCAACCAAGTGGTCTGCATCTACCAATATGGCTTAGACTAGAAGTGAGTGACTTCAAGGAACGATGCTAAGTTTGGGTTTCGCTGGGCCTAACTTTCTTCCAACCATCTTCAATACTAGTCAGCAACCAACAGATAGTACTTTATATTGATTCGAAAATATCGTTTATACGAATTTATTTTGCTAGAATAAACACAAAAACGTAAATTCAGTCTTTAAAGTCTAAGCTATGAATTGTATTTTTTTTCATTTTTCATTCTTACAAAACTATCTAAATCTGTTATTTAATATAATATACCCTTGTGGGCGAGGGTAATTTTACATTGGTTTTCAGGAGAACCAGACATCATCCAGGTTTAAATGTTATAACCCGAGCGATACAGCTCAATCTCTCTCCACAGGAGAACCAGACACCATATAGGCTTTAACGCTACAACCTGAATAGTACAGCTCAATCCTATAGCGCAACCACATAAGCACCAAGCACCATGGTGGAACAAATCTGTGGGTTTTTTTTATAATTATCGCAGATTAAATGAACAGAGCCAAACAAAATCCAGAGCAACATTTCAACGTGATAATATGTTAAAGATTTGAAGGAAATGAAATAATGAATACATTAGTTGTTTTGAAATTTAATGTTTCCAACCACAAAGTTCCTATTGTACTGTGGAGTCAAGTGAAAATCCTCCAGTCGGATCTTTCTACTGGTACGCATATTTTGAATCATTATCAAGCAATTTCATACATTTTGTAAGCAATGATGGATTGTGGCTAGCAGTGGAATCCAGGATGCGCGTTTCGTCCTATTTGGGACTCGTCAGTTGGATGTACCTGCACCTCAGAGTTGATGTTCACTCTAGGACTCGAACTCAGTACCATCCGCTTCAAACGCCATCGCGTTATCCACTTAGCTACTGAGTCCTGTTAGCCACTTGCTTGTGCAAATCTGAGATGCAAGTACATCCAGCTGACGAGTCCCAAATAGAACGAAACGCGCGTCCTGGATTCCACTCCTAGCCACTATCCATCATTGCTTACAAGAAGCTTGTAAATTAAGGCAATATCGAGGCATACTCACACTATGCACATATGCCGATAATAGACTGATCAATTGCAGTCTTAAACTTCAATGGGAAGATACAAGCCAAATAATACCAAGTGAATTCAATTTCATACATGTTCATGATATCGGGAAATTGTTACTCATTAATTAAATTTCTATTCTGCTAAATGTGTAATGAACGAACGTTCAGTTGTGAAAGACCAATTTATTGTTTGTTGTCAAATTACACAATGGTTTAGTAAAATGTGAAAATCATACATCATTTGCATATTCTCTTATAAGTTTCATTGCTCTTTAATTTCTGTTTTTATTATGATTGTTTTCAGTTTCTGTTATATCCTAGCGAAGATTAACTTACCAGTAACTTCTGAAACCTATTAATCGACTAATATTATCTATATATTGTTATTGTATAACTATTCAGTAACTAGACTGTGTATATCCATATTCCTCTTATTATAAGCTTCATTTCGACCTATAGGTTATTATTGTACGATTTACTGTTCTTACGTTATGTTCAGTTTATTGATTACAGTCTCCCACGTTCACAGCCATATTTTGGCTTTATTTTGTATAAATTGTATTTCATATTTTATGGTGCATTGCGGTCTGTTTGGCTGGTATATAAACCAAGTATGTCTGCGGCAAAGTGGAAGCTGTTATTGTTGTTTTGGACTCAACTGGGCGGGTTAGGCGAGCAAAGGACCAATAGGACGCTAGGCTGATCAGACCACTCGGAAGTCATTGTTTTAGTACAGTACAAGAGTGAATAAGTCATATTTCGATTGGCGAATAAATTACGTGATAACTAGCTGGACTTAAAGTCAC